TTTCTTCTTCTTCTCCTCCTCCTCTCTCTCTCTCTCTCTCTCTCTCTCAATCTCTTTTTGTCCGTATGAATTATATCAACGCTTTGTCCGGCCTGTTTCGACGTATTCGTATAATTTCACATTGCGGAACGTAACTCTCAAAATTAAATGACAGCGACATCTCGGCGTGATCCGACTATTTTCGAGAAGTAATATACCGTCACTTATTACATTCTATCCTAACGTCATATTCTAATTAATGAATTTCTAATGAATATCGGTCAATTTGACAGGGGAGAGGGGAAGAGATCTATAATATAATTATCAAAATTATAATCATTATTATTAACGCAGCTGTCAAATTAAATCGCAGACGTCACTCTCAAGTCGCTCTCTTGGGTATGTTTGGGTTTATTCGAGTAATATCTTAGTATGCTGTTATACAAGAATAGAGATATAAAGAAATCTCGCAGAAAATTATCCTTAAGTATGCCGAGATGCACGGTGTAATACAGACATTTACTTTTACATCGCATAACTCAACGCGACGTTGACGGGTGACACGAGTTTCTATTCCTCCTACCCTTACCCTTTTTCGGGGAAGGAGGAGAAAAAGAAAGCTTTGCGTGTTATGGCTACATCGAGAAAGGACCGGCTTTAACAAATTGCCTTTTAACGATCCAATATCGAGCGATTCGTCCTTTCCTCCTCCGCATCGCATTTCGCAATCAGCCCGTGTAACACGGATGGTTAATTTAACGTAAACTTTGGTCTCCCGCTGCATAAAATATGCGAACATAATGAATTTGATCGCGCGTCCGCCGCCACCGACGCTACCGCCCTTCTCTCTCTCTCTTTCTCTGTCTTCTTTGTTTATTTCTCTGGGGGATGAATCATACATAGAAGGGTCAGCGTCCATAAATTTCCGCCGATTTAACCCTATTATCGAGGATCGCGGCGGTGCTGACCGTATCGAAACTCCAATACTAACCGCTCTCTCTCTCTCTCTCTCTCTCTCTCTCTCTCTCTCTCTCTCTCTCTCTCTCTCTACGTCGTCGTACGTCGTCGTCGTCCGTACGTACGTACTACGTACGTACGTACGTACGTACGTACGTACGTACGTACGTACGTACGTACGTACGTACTACGTACGTACTACGTACGTACGTACGTACGTACGTCTACGTACGTTACTACTACGTACTACGTACTCTCGTCT